TCTTTCTTTCTGTCAGCGACATACACTCCTAACACAGGACGGGTTGTTTTAATTGACTGAGTTGATCATTAAGCCATAGTGATGCGCGGATCGGCTCTGATAGCACCTGAATCAGCATGTACGCATCAACCATCCAGCCGTTACAACATGATTGAGCTAGCAAAGCAGTTTTGTGTTGCTATGTGTGGTATTTATTCAGTTTTGGGAAATCACGATGTCTAGAAAGCATCAGTGGCTGCAGCTGACAGGGACAGCTAACGTTAACACTAGCAGCAAAGCTAACATCAGGACGTCATCTGTTAAAAGCCTCCCGTTGTCGGATACGACATGAAACTACTCCAGTTAGCTCAATCATGTTGTAACTAAGACATCTGCTGGAAAAAATATTTTTTCACGGACCGTTTATTGAGTTATTGAGTTATTACAGACACCGCTAACGGCTAACGGTTAGCCCAGCTAATCTACGATAAGCATGTTATTAATTACACACAGAGAAAATACTAATGTTTGTTCAGTCATTGTGTTTATAGACTTTACAAACATCAGATTAGTCTAAACGTTGATATAGTGACGTGAAAAATGTGATATATATCTAGCTAAACTCAACAAGGTAAACAACAAGGCGATTCCCATTTACACAGTGGTAAGAGTGCTGGACCGGAAGTGTTGCAGAAAAAAACGGAAGCTGGCTGTGTTCTGTTTTGCCTCCGTGTTTCCGTGAAAAATAAGGTGAGTAGCTCTGGGTATCCAGCAACCACTACCACCAGTTTTCCTCCATTGTTTACCAACTGTGAACTTGTTGTGACCACCACAGAAGGCCCGCCTCTCAAATCATCAGATTGGACAATGGGGAAAAGACATAATGTGGGGCACATTTTTGCTCTGAGTTGAACACCAGCTGCTTAGAGCACAGAAACATGAGGCACATTGCAACGCAAAAATACCAACTCGTGACTTCTGTGTACAGCTACACCCCTAGAATTATTGTACTGTCGATTTACCATTTGAATAATGTGTCTGTTCTGTTTCACCCTCAACTAATCACGTCATTTTTACAGGTAAGTTGCTCGGGTATAATTAAGAATAATAAAGAGACCATGCTGATCATAAAAAGTTATGAACAAGTCTCCAAAGCATGCTTAAGTATGTTAATACTCAGTTCTTAATTTGTACATGTGGTCTGCAGTGTGTTTGTGCCTGTGCGAGTGTGTGTGTGTGTGTGCTCAGGCCCAAAGGCTCTTCTGGAATAAGTTCTCAGGTGATAAGCCACTTATGGGAGTTGGCGTCTGGCCTCTGGACTCTCTAATCTATTTGGCAATGCTGGATGGCTCAGATGAAATGACAACAAAGATTAAGCCACGGGCGAGAACTTGAGGGATCCCAAACTGCCTCTTGACCCGCTAAACATGATTAGAGCGAAGCAGCAGCCATGGCTGATGTAGAGGGATATCTGGCCGGTGTGCAGTTTCTCCACGCTCCTACACTCTTCCGTCTTCCCCCTCCAGATCTTCTCCAGGCCTGAGATTTCTCCCAGAGTCATAAGTTTTAATGCGATTCTTTACCTCACCTCTGCAAAGCCCGTGTAATTGGTACGCATCAGATATCCAACATCCCTTTTCAAACAGCCCTAAATGATTTCATTTGCAGGGGTGTTTAATATTACATTTTGTCGACACGCTGGGCGAGAGAGGATGAATATCTGCGACGAGGAAGCTGTCCTCACACTGTGCTCGCCTTAAATTAGGCGGTGGTCCATTTGGAATACCAATGACTGCTCATGCTTTTAATTAGCGCTCCCATGTCATGGACAATAAAGAGAAATGCTGAACAAGAGAAAGAGGAAAGAAGTAATGAGAAGGCTAATGGTAAAAATGATCCCAGATTGGCTTTCCTCTTTTTTATGGCAAGACAGAATGAATTTTAATAGTCTGCAGTTTTACTCTCTGATACAGAGCCGCTTCAGACACTGTGATATTTTGTCTTTGTTTGCCTTGACTTGACTTTATTTTCTGTTTTATGAACAGAGAAAATCAGGGTTTATTGTGGATATTAAGAGACAGATGATCAGAAACACAATCACACAAAACGCTGGGTGAAATTGTTGTTTAAAAAACAATTTGTAGCGTCTGCAGTTTAACCATGTGTGTGTTTTTAAATTACTTAAGAGACACACATTCCTCAGTTCCAGTTTTCTCTTTCCTTTCTTTATGAAACCGAGAGAGCAAATAGAAAGATTTCATGCTGGAAGCTGCCACAAGGGGACAGAAGCGTAATGCATTCACTTAAGAAAAAAAAAATCAAGCTGGTTTTTCTTCAGTAACGAGATTATTATCAGCATTATGGGAAGTTTTAATGGGCAAAAAATTCAGCTTGTTTTTGTGAAAAGATAATAACTTTGGTCTTTCAGCAAAAGAAAAAATATCTTCTTTGAACACTTTTCTCATGATTTTGAGATAATAATCTCTTTGGTTTTTTTTTTAGGAAACTTTTGTTAAAAACTAAAATTTAAGGGATAATTATTTGGTTAATTCAGATAAATAAGAGCAGAATTTTTTTTTTTAATCGTGATTTTGTAGATGATGATCTCTTTCGTCCAAAAAAACAAGAAACATTTAGTTATTCAAGAAACTTCTGATAATTTGTATTTTTAAAAAAAATACAAGCAGAAATTTTTAATTAAAACTTTTCCCCATAATTTCAAGATACTAATCACATTCATAAAAAAAACTAAAATTTACCAGATAAGTATCTAGCGTAATTATTTTACTTGTAATTTTGAGATAATAATCTCTTTAGTCCCGAAAAACAAGGAACTTTTTTTTTTTTCATGAAAACTTTTCATATAATTCCAAGAATATAATCTTTATTTTCCCTGCAAGTCAAGCAGTTTTTTTTTCAGCAAAACTTCCCCTAATTTTGAGATATAATCTCATTCATTCAAAAAAACTAAATTTTATGGGATAATTTTCTGGTTAATTCAGAAAAACGAGCAGAATTTTTTTCTCGTAATTTTGAGAATAATAATCTCTAGTCCCAAAAACAAGGAACACTTTTTTCATTAAAACTTTCTTAAAATTCCAAGTATTTAATCATTTTTTCACCCGAATGCAAAGCAAATTCTCTTTTTTAAGAGTTTTTCCTTAATTTTGAGAAAATAATCTAATTTATTCAGAAAATTTAAATTTGCAGGATAATTAACAGGTTAGTTCAAATTAAGAAGTAGATTTTTTTTTCTCATAATTTTAAGAAAATAATTTCTTCATGCCTGTAAAACAAGGAACTTTTTTTTTTCATGAAAACTTTTCTGCTAAATCCAAGAACATAATCTTTTTTCCCCGAATGTCAATCAGATTTTTTTTTCAAGAATTTTCCCTTAATTTTGAGAAAATAATCTCATTTATTCAGAAAAACTAAAATTTACAGGATAATTATTGAATTTCAGTTTCGATTCAGTTTTATTTACACATACACACATAGTCATTTGATCCATTGTTATTGTAGAAATATTGAGTGGTGCAGTTTTAATCATTGTCTCATTGCCCCCCCGTTTGTGTTGGTATCTCTCTTCAGTGGTTAGTCCTTTTCCCAACCCATAAACTGGTCAAACCCACCTTCCTCAGTAACTTTACCTCCACAATAACTGGAGCTATTGGCGCAGCTCTTTCTGCTCAGTCTCTTTGCCCTTTCTCCCAATAACCAGACCAACCAGAGGAGATGACAACACTCCAAAGACTGGGAGGCCCCTCTCCACACATGTAATTGCAACAAACTCCTCCAAACTAGGATGCAACTTGTCGTCTCGTCTGCTGGCAACAGTTGCCATGGCAATGCACAAATGCAGCGCTCACTGCTTTGCTTTGTTTCCCTCTGACTCGTCACTGAGTGAGGGGAAAATGCCACACAAGTACAGGGGGTTGGAAAAGTGCTCCGTGAACTGTCGCCGGGAAAGTTTTTAATTGGGGGCGAAATCCTTAAGTGTGTTGGGCAATTTTTTTTTTTGTGTGTGTGAAAGCCGCTGTGATTGGAATGCCCTTTTGTGTGTTATTTTGGTTCCATCAGAAAGATGAAGACATTTACAACAGGCTATTTATATGTGAGGATCTCACTGTGCACCCAGTGGAATATGCGCATGCACACTTTTTTCAGCTTCATTACCCTTACACAAGTGAAAATGGTCCTGTGGTGCTGTATGGCTCAGCGGATGGAGCGTGGCCGTAGCATTGCAGCAGGCGCCCCGAGTGAAATATTTTCACTGCTTCACAGGCAGAAGTGACTGAGTCCTACTCTCTGGCCTTTATTTGTCAAGCTGGACTCATGAAGCCTCAAAGACTGTAATCATTCCTCTCTTTTCAGTGTGACTTTTAGGATGTGACAAGCAAGATTTAAATTCAAGTCTGAGCACACTAATACATCCACTTTAATGTGAACTTTCCCCACAGAATATATAAAATAAGCTCGGGGAAGTAGGAAATATCGTTTATTTATAGTCACAGGGCTCAGCTGAGACATTCACAGCATCGCTGAGAACAGTCTAATATGGACATGAGCATATTATTGTTGTTTGTGAGTTGTAAACAAACCTCTTTTTGCCCTATATCAGACGAAATTGTCAACCCGTCACACTCAGTTTCCATCTTTTATATCCAATTTCCATGAGTGATGCAGATTCTAGACCAGTGGCTCTAGCTGGTCCAGCCACAGGCTCCAGATTTCTCCTTAGTTATCAGGGTCCACACAGTTTAATATATTTCGCGTCATACTTGTGTTTGGCCATGTTGTCGAGCTAGTTTTCGGTCTTCCTCAAGTAGCTGTCCATTAGTCACTCACTCTACAGCAGGAAACATCACTTCACAGTACAGCTCTGTGCTGGAAATTCAGTGTATTCAGTTCAGTGGTTGTTTTTTTAGTTTAATTGAGAAACAGCTGTTTCATGTCACAATGCCAGACGAATCAGTCAACTTGAACTTGGTGAAGTGGGCAAATTCAAAGGTCTGGACTCAGGCAACAAACATCTGCTAATAACCCCCAATTTTTTTTTTTTTTTTTTTTTTTTTTCAAGTTGCAGTCAGCTATTCTAATCTAATGCACTTTTTGTCAAATGCCAGCCGTTTGTTCTGTGGAAAAGTCTTAAATCTTATGATGGGAAGAGTTTGGTTAGATAACTAAAGCGCAGTGCTGATAAATACCTTGAAAAATGTAGTTAGTATTTTTGGAAAGGCCCTCAACTGGTCCCATACCTATTTAATCAACAGGGAGATAGCTGTTGTTTCAAATGCCCATCAAATCCTACATGGTGTTCCTCAGGGTTCATTACTTGGTCCCCTCCTTTTTTTCATAAACATGCTTTCACTCAAAGAAATTATACAACCACATGGTGTAACTTTCTGAGGTTATAGAGACTACACAGAACTGTACATAGTGCTAGCGCCCAATGATGCCACAGTTTAAGTCATTAAACAGACTGCGGGACTCAACATTAAAAATTCCCCGATTGTCCAGGGTAAGTAAAATGCTACGTCAGGCTAGTAAATCTAGCAACTTACCCATTTTGAATAAGTGGTAAAAAAGAATTTTTTTTTTTCCTGAGCTGATGATGGAAGTATTTAGGGAGTGGGTGGTTTTTAGCAACCTGTAGCTCTTTTCCCAGCAGCTTTACAGCAATCTAACCTCAGTGTTTCTTAGCATTTCATGGTTGTTTTCCCAGTGGATTTTAGCCCCCAAACATGGATATTTTTCAGCGATCTTTGGCTCCTTATCCAGTGCCTTTTTAACCCTCAAACATACTTGGAAACCATGATTCTTTTTTTCAGCTGCTTTTTAGCCCCAAAACATTGATGTTTCTTAGGAACCTGTGACAAAAAATGGTTCTGATTTCACAAGTCACTGCTGTGCTTCCAGCAGCTGGGTGTTTCGTCAGTGTTTTTGGGACCCGTTAGTGTTTTTCCTGCACTTTTTTACTGAGACATCCCTGATTTTCTGGCAGATATAGTGCCATACAAAGCGGCCATTCTTTTGCTGAGACATCACTATGCTGGGATATTTGCACAAAAAGCAGTTGTTTTTCACCGAGATTATACCACACACTGTTTTATTTTAAGCCAGAACATGATCTTCTTCTGACCATAACTATGTCTTTTTGTACATAACCTTGACCACATGATAACTACAGCGTTTCATTGCAATCGCTACATTAAAATGTGCAAATGTAATGTATCCGTGGTTTGCAGAAATGTACAATGCCAACATTTTTTGTGGTGATCAGGTCGAAAAACAAACAGTTGCAGTAGTCTATCAGAGTAACACTACAGGTGATAAAGAATATTGGTTCAGAGCTGTTGTGGCAGGATAACTGGGGCTATTTTTTGTCCTTAATGCATTCACCATTTCGTCACATCAAGCCTGACCATAATGGGATGTGGCCTGCCACACCACATTGGAAATCTAATCTGGTAGCAATTAGACCAGTCAGTTAGTAATATGGTTTGTTCTGCTCAGTAATATAAACATAATAAAACCAGTATTCCTAAAGTAGGTAGTGTAAGTAATCACAAAATGATTTACTTTCTCTTTTTGATGTCTTAAATGACAAATAATGAAGTGATTTCTGGAGTCTGTGCTCTCCAGATCTGTGTCAAGACAGCCTTTTCTCTTCTCATGGCCCCAAATTTCCACTCACAGCTGCTGTACTTGAGCAGAGACGCCAGTAATGAGATCATGCCAAATCTAAATCTAAAATTAAAACTTCACACACAGGACAAAAATTCACTTTCACACATACAGCGTGTTTCTGCCTAATGTATTATGCATGCATGCTCTGTCTTTGGCCATAAGCAACCCTAGAAGCCTCTCGTTCACCCAAATAAACAGGCCGACCCACAAACACAATGAATTACTCATGATTCATTAGCAATTAATGGCCCTCGTTCTGTGCTTTCATTTCCAATTAGGCGAGCTGAGGGGACTAAATATGTCTGTTGTGAGTGAGAGAATGAGCTTCCAGTCATGCTCTGTTTCTCTGTCTTGTAACTGCCTGTTTATTGTTTATTCCATCACTGACATGTGGCGCGTGTTTGGGCACACACTGTGAAGATTTCTGTGCATATATGTACATGTTAATTTTTGTTTTTTTCCATGTGGCTTCAGGAGCTAAAAGCGCAGCCCCACAGCCATGCATTTTTAATATATCTAATTGAGAAGAGGTTGTATGAATTTCTGATGGTATCTGTGTGTCTATGAACTCGTGCTAATGTCTGTGTCTTCCTGTGTTTCAGGGCAGCACCGCTCCCTCGGCCCAAATATATCCAAGGTGCGGAGCTTGAAGTTGGACAGCAGCATCTGGAGCAATGAGCTAGTGGAGGTATGTACTGTTTTTGTCGTGAGTGAGAATAACATAAGCTCTGACCTGATATAAAGTGATCTAACATGACTTCTGTTCGACCACTTTTTCCATTGGATTTATGGTAGTCAATGTCTCGAAATTAAAGGGACACTTAACTCCAGAAATGATCTTCTGTATATCACTTACTCATGCTGTCTTAACCTTGAATTAGAGAAGAAAACATTTCCTCACATTCCTCATCAGTGAACGAAGAATTAAAGAACAGAAAATTCTTGATAAATTGAAGTCAATGGGGACCACGTTCAACAACGGCAAAACTAGATCAAAACCTCCCTTTTGATACATCTGCCTGGGCAATTCAGTGCTTTTAAATTAGACTGGTACGTCCCAGCTTGCTCATTGTCCGATGTCCTGCTGTCACTTACTCACGCCGGTCGCTTCTTGGCCAATGAACGAGCTGAGAGGCGGGACTTCAATGGAATGCACGAGCAGAGTTCAAGGACGCGCTACTTGCTAGGGGTGTGTCATATCATCTTGTTGACACTAATACTGGTATATTTTTTAATATCATGAAAAATTCATATTGTAATACTCGCGATATTTCAACTTGTTGACATATGATGGCATACTGTCAGAGCTGAGCTGAACTATTAATATTGTATACAGAATCTGAGTTACTGTTGTTCACAAACTAAAGAACTAATTTGTCATATCGTCAAGAATATCGTTATCGCAATAATACCCTGAAATATCGTGATATTATTTTAGGGCCATATTGCCCACGCCTACTACTCGCTTTTGCGTGACACAGTTTATGCAGCAGTGTTTTAAATTTAAATGTTTAGTGAAATGCAGTTGAAGAACTGAGCATACAACTGGATAAATGAGATTCTGATTAAATTTCAGAAGCTGTGTGAGAGTTTGTCAGCAGATGTTTTGATTAAGAATGTCAGCTTCGGTTAATTTGACTTTTGATAGCCATAGCAATTTAAGAAAACAAAATGCAAAATGATGTGAAATACAAGAGGCCTTTGCTTTAAGTTTGGCACTGTTGAATCAGTGAGCTTCAGCACTGCATTTCAAAGTGCTATCCATTCAGGAGGTGGAATTTTAATGTTTTGTGATGTAAATGTTTTGACTTTTATTTTATTTTCTGTTGGCTTTGCTGACAGACAGACAGCGAGCTGCGTTAACGTGTGGAAACAAACTGCCCACTGCCCACCCTTCGGTATCTACAGGTTGGTTAGCATCACTGTAGAGGCATGCTAGAAAAGCAAATTTTACATAACATGGGATGAGTAATTGATATACAAATGGTCATATTGGGGCATGAAGTATTCCTTTAACTACTGTTTTTCACTTACTTTCAAAGGGCTTTTAAACTAAAGATAAATACTAAAAAGTGAAACCTGACAAACATTCAACCGGTGTTATTGTGAGGACTTGATCCTGTTTCAGGCAGATGTTGATTTCATATCCTACTAGAAGGTCTACAAATGATTCTCTCCTGTCTTTGTCCCCTCTCCATGACCTTTAACACCTCAGCTCTTCCTGGAGGTGGGGAACAAGAACGCTAACAGTTTCTGGGCTGCTAACCTTCCCTTGGAGGAGGAACTCTTCAGCGGAGCGTCAGCAGAGCAGCGCGCCACTTTCATCCGCAGGAAATACAGGGAGAGGAAGTACTGCAGGGTCCTGGAGGGTTTCAACAACCTGGAGCAGCTCAACCAGGTAACGTCTTTAAAGACACGTCAAATCAATAGATTCAAAATGGATGTTATAGAAAGTTTGCTTTCAGATATTGAGGCAGTGATATGCTAACATGGTGACGTATTAAATGTTGTAGTGTGGTTTTATTCCTACTGTGGGTGTCAGTGGTTAACTGTTAATCTGTTAACAGCCAGATATATTCTTGAATGGTTACACATGTCGGTCCACAGGTTAATTTAGCTAATTTAGTTTAGCTACCTAGTGTACTGCACTGTGCACCACTTGGGCCTGGTAGGAGCTAGCTAGCAACACAGCTCATTCGGCAATTATGGCCTTGTTTACATGGATACCGATACAAATAAAAACGGATTTTTATTTATCCTGTATAAAAAAAATTCCGGGTTTACACGAACAGTTGTAAAAAAGATATCCCTGTTTACACGAAAATGCAAAAACGGCACCTTTTTGCTGCAGTTAGCATGCCAGGCCAGTAGGTGGCGATACACCATATGTCAAACACCATAGAAGAATGTTCTGCGCATGCACAGTGATTTGTTTACAACTACATTTTAACCTTATGTAGCATAGTTAGATGCTATGCACTTAATAATATTGGGCACAGCAGATGTCTTTGTGCGCTGATGTAGCGGTGAAGTTCATTTGTAAGCTCATAAGTAGTCCCAAAAGTGCTAACAAAATGTAAACAACCCGGCATATATCCGCCATTGTTGTTGTGGTTCTCAGGCGCCTAATGGGCATGTGCGAACTGGGTTGCAACGTCATCGTTTTCCAAAATCTCCGTCTATCGTGTTTACACGTCTCCATAGAAATGGATAATTTTTAAAAACTTTCACTTTGGAAGCCGTTTTTGAAAATCTCGTTTCGTCAAGAAAAAGCCGGTTACGTGTAAATGACAGGTTCAAACGCAAAGATAAATACCCACTTTCAGAAATATACGGAACCGTATAAACAGGCCCTACGACTAGTAACAGTATCGCTGCAGAAACATTGTGGCCACCCTCTGTTCTTCCTTTGGTAGCCCTGCTGAGTCAGCAGTTTTATTTTGAGTCTCAAAACCCCTGTAGCATTGTTAACCTTGTTTACACTGTTAGCTCTGTTAGCACAGTTACCTTCTAGCCATTAGCAGCCAGTGTGGCTAGTGGTGCTAACACAACAGACAATGCTAAAGGAGTTTTGTGGCTCAAATGAAGCCACATCTTTACTGGGGCTACCTGGGGAGGAGACTGGAGGGTGGCCGCCATGTTTTAGCAGCAAAGAATCCCACTAGCAAGACGGCGTTACCATCGGTGATCGTGTACAGTGCTAGCTAGCTCCCATCCAACCTGGTTGGCAGTGCAGAGTAGCCGAAGCTAATGTTAGCTAACCAGTGGAGACCGGATGGTGGGCAGTGGGCACTATTTTAAGCGACTAACCAGCTGTCTGTCAGCAAAGCTAACGGAAAATAAACAGTTATTGGGTGTCGGGCTACTGAAAGCAAAATTAACCCAAATGGAGATCCCTAATTCCAACATTTAAATTTAGGAGGTGTTTCTGTCTTCTTTTACTGTCCATTGAATAAAACTTTTTCACCAGTAGTTGCCGAGGAAGGTGAAAATTCTTTGCCTCTGATTCTACACCCACTATCAGCAGTTCTCCAACCATATGCCAAACTTGTTTACTACAACATTATATTGTATACGCCTGTGAGGGTCTCGTCTGCTTTACTCTGTAAACAAGCACAACAGATGCGGTGCGAGTACAGTCGATCTGCAACGTGCCGACTCCCTCACTGCTTTGTCAAGTAATCCTCAACATTAAAGTTGGTGTTAGAGTTTCATTGGCTGTGTGTAGAAGTGCACGCTGACTACATCCGTCTGTAGACTTGTGGCAGGAGTTCTTTTTTATTCCTGAGTGCTGCAGTGTCTACCTGCAAGTTGCACTGCATCTCATATCAAGAATACATCGCATCTGTTCAATGTGTGCATATAATTTAGTGAGTTTACCTGACTGGAGATGTCAGACTATCTGCAGTTATGGAGCCCTTTGGAGAAGTATACTGGGTTGTGTTCTGAAGGTTTATATCAAAATATTCATTGTTCCTAGCTGTGTTAGTAGAAGATCTTTAGGGGGAGATAGCAGGTCAAGTTTTTCTAGTCCTGAATCTGTCATTAACATTGTGTTTTTGGTTAGGCGCCTATTCAAACCTTGCAAGTTTAGAGTGTAAAGGGCCTGGGAACATTATGATGGAGGTATATGACAGCCATTCCTTTGCTCAGTTGTGTGTCATACATTGCTGCAGAGATTTTTGAGTTGATACCATACTTGAGAGTTAATAGAAATGGCTAAAAATGCCTCCAAAATACCAGATAAAGACATTAAGACCTTGAGGAACGCAATAGAAAAATCCAAGCTGTGATTCAAAATAAAAAAACAAGTTGACATTTGGATATATCTGTAAAAATTGCTCATGATCACTAGTTTGAAGTTTCACGAGGCTGTGATTATCCTTTGGGTCACTAGAGGTCATTTTATACAGTGAGGTTCTTAAAAATGTGCTCACTATAATGAAATGGTTACTATGGGGACAAACATCATCACACATGGATAAAACTGGGCTGATTAATCTACAAGAGTCTCAGCTTTACTGTCAGACCCAAATATATGCAAGTTGTTCAGGGACCCTGTGCGTACAAGTAGTCAAATACTGTGGGGCATTTCCCAACCCAAGTCCATACGGACTTAGCTTGGGAACCAGAGGGTCAGCGTTTCAAGTCTCTGTCCAGTCCAAATATGGAGCGTAGACTGGTAGCAGAGAGGTGCCAGTTCACCTCCTGGGCACCACCGACTGCTTGGGGCACCTGTCCATGGGCAGGCTTTGGAGCCTGAGCATATTGGCTTGATTTCTTTAAAAAGACATGGGAAGAAGGCAGTGAGCATCAAAAGAAGAGATGACCCAAAACATTTGCAAGAAATTAGTAAAAAGAGAAAATTAAAAACAAGAATTCTTTTTAAGTTTTGTTTAAAAAAACAACAACAAACAAACAAGGAAATAATGCAAAAAAATTATAATAACTCCATAACATATTTTAAAATGTAATAATACTAGTTTTTCCCCATTTTTTTTAAATATAATTTTCAAAATTTACTTTTTTTTAAAATGCAATTTGTGGGACATTTCTTACCAAATTTTCCATTGATTTGACCCCCAAAAAAGAAGAAATGACCCAAAAAATGCAAAATGCAATGCAGAAAATTAATTTTAAAAAAGTTTTGTTTTAAAAAGATAAACAATAATGACAATAACATCATTTTAAAATGTTATAGTAATAGTTTCTCCATTTTTTAAAAATAATTTTCTAAATTTTTTTTATTAAAAAGAGAAAATTAAAAACAAGAAAATTCTTGAGAAAATGTTTTGAAAATAAACAAACAAAAAAACAGTGCGAAAAAATAAAGTAATTATATAACATTATTTAAAAATATCATAGTAATAAATTTTCCCTAGCTTTTTACTTTTTCCCCAGTTTTTTTTTTTTTTTTTTTTTAAATTTCAAACTCTAGATTTTTTATTTATTTTTTAATTGCAATTTGTGGGACCATGACAACAGAGTAAAAGTAGTAAAACGTATTTCCTCTTGGGGATTAATAAAGTGTATCTTCTTAAATATGGTTTTTTCCCCCAAAGCTGAATGGGAGAAGGGGAGACTTATGGGTATCCATAGAAACCATTTCATTCAGATGTCTTGAGGTGAGAGGTCAAGAGAGCCTCGCCAATTGTTTTTTCCCTGCAAGAATTTAGCTGAACTTTGAGATGTTATTTAAGCCTGCGTTTGGAAAAAGTAGCCTGGCATGGATCACTGGAAGTCTTAGGTCTTCTACAGCCTCTGAAAAACAATAGTGCGAGGATGCCAGCATTCTCGCAGAATACAAGAGGTTAAATATGCACTTATTTACATTTATGTCCACAGCTGCATCTTAAAATTGGATTAAACCAGGTCCAAAAGTCTCAAGTCAAAGGTGTGTTACTGAAGGGACTTTTTATATTTGTTGTTATTGCTCCATAAATCAGAAAATATTGGAGACAATGACTTGCGCCACAGTTTGCTGTGTTGTCTCCCGCTAGCTGCTCAGTGTGAACAACTAAAACATCAAGACAACATCTCTTTAGACCTTGGATGTGTTTTTCTACCTCTAGTTACCCAAGTATTTTTTTCTGGTCGGGTTAGAGCAAAGTGCAGCAAAAGTTCACCAACCTGCGGTGATAAGTGGGCACATACAATAGCTCCATCTGTACTTCTAAGAAAACGTGGTACACGGCATCCACCGTTAGCTAAGTCCACCTGAAAAAGTCCATATTTACCTGACCTTTTGACCGCCAGTAAAACTGCGCCATAAGTCTGACAATGCCAAAGGGGAAGTCTTATCGATCTCAAGTGCATGCAGGTTGACGCTAAGGCCTCCTCTGCCAGTTTGTGGTTCAGGGTTTACTGCTGCGGCAAAAAAGAAAAAAAAAAAAAAAGCGCCTGTTTTTTGGCTTCCCCTGAAAGAGAGGGTCTTAAAAGCACAAAGCACTGAACCTCCAAACTGTTTCCACGTGCGTCAGCATTTACGCAGATCAGCCTCCTCATATTGTTTTCTAGAGCAGAAGGAGAGGGATGGAGATGTGGAGAGAAAGAGGGAATGAAGGGGGGGAGTAAGGAAGAGATATACTAGCTGGCTAAGTGGAAAAGTGGATTAGGATCCACAACAGAAACGCTTGGGTTGGTTTTATTGCAGCTTTGCTGGCCTCTGCCTGTGTGTATGTGGGAGTGTGTGGTGTGTACACGCGTGTGAACATGTGTGCTGCACCACGAAGGATGTGTGAATTTGCTGTTGTAGTGGGAGTTTTTGCAGGGTGGTGTAGGACAGGAAGTGTGACGGAGAGAGTGTGGCTGCCTAAAAGGGTTTGGCCAATGTGTGTGTGTGTGTGTGTGTGTGTGTGTGTGTGTGAGAAAGAAAGAGAGTGGAAAAAGGTGGAAGTG